GGGGGTTATCCGATTCCCAGTTTAAAGATTCGGGCTTTTTTCGATTCCCAGTTTAAAGATTCGGGGGGTTTTGGATTCCAGATTTTAAAGATTCGGGGTTTTTTTCAATTCCCAGTTTAAATAAAGATTCGGGGGGGTTTCAATTCCCAGTTTAAAGATTCGGAGGTTTTTGGATTCCAGATTTTAAAGATTCGGGTGTTTTTCAATTCCCAGTTTAAATAAAGATTCGGGGGGTTTTCGATTCCCAGTTTAAAGATTCGGAGGTTTTTGGATTCCGGATTTAAAGATTCGGGGGTTACCCGATTCCCAGTTTAAAGATTCGGGGGTTATTGGGATTCCCAGTTTAAAGATTCGGGGTGGTTTCGATTCCCAGTTTAAAGATTCGGGGATTTTCCGATTCCAAGTTTAAAGATTCGGGGGTTGTTCGATTCCCAGTTTAAAGATTCGGGGGTTTTTGGATTCCCAGTGTAAAGATTCAGGGTTTTTGGATTCCAGATTTTAAAGATTCGGGGGTTATTCCATTCCCAGTTTAAAGATTCGGGGGGTTTTCGATTTACAGTTTAAAGATTCGGGGGGTTTTGGATTCCGGATTTAAAGATTCGGGGGTTATCCGATTTGGTTTTTTTTCGATTCCCAGTTTAAAGATTCGGGGGTTTTCCGATTCCAAGTTTAAAGATTCGGGGGTTGTTCGATTCCCAGTTTAAAGATTCGGGGGTTTTTTGATTTCAGATTATAAAGATTCGGGGGGTTTTCGATTTACAGTTTAAAGATTCCGGGTTTTTTGGATTCCGGATTTAAAGATTCGGGGGTTATCCGATACCCAGTTTAAAGATTCGGGGGTTTTTGGATTCCAGATTTTAAAGATTCCGGGGTGTTTTCGATTCCCAGTTTAAAGATTCGGGGGTTTTCCGATTCGAAGTTTAAAGATTCGGGGGTTTTTAGATTCCCTCTTTAAAGATTCCGGGGTTTTTGGATTCCAGATTTTAAAGATTTGGAGGGGGGGGGGAGTTATTTGATTCCCAATTTAAAGATTCGACGGTTTTCGATTCCCAGTTTAAAGATTCGGGGGTTTTTGGATTTCAGATTCTAAAGATTCGGGGGGTTTTCGATTTACAGTTTAAAGATTCCGGGCTTTCTGGATTCCGGATTAAAGATTCGGGGGTTATCCGATTCCCAGTTTAAAGATTTGGAGGTTTTTGGATTCCAGATTTTAAAGATTTGAGGTATTTTTGATTCCCAGTTTAAAGATTCGAAGGTTTTTGGATTCCAGATTTTAAGATTCGGGATTTTTTCGATTCCCAGTTTAAAGATTTGGCGGTTCTTGGATTCCAGGTTTTAAAGATTCGGGTTTTTTTCAATTCTCAGTTTAAAGATTCGGGGGTTCTGGATTTCAGATTCTAAAGATTCGGGGGGGTTTCGAATTACAGTTTAAAGATTCGGGGGTTTTTGGATTCCGGATTTAAAGATTCGGGGGGTTTTCGATTCCCAGTTTAAAGATTCGGAGGTTTTTGGATTCCGGATTTAAAGATTCGGGGGTTACCCGATTCCCAGTTTAAAGATTCGGGGGTTATTGGATTCCCAGTTTATAGATTTGGGGTGTTTTCGATTCACAGTTTAAAGATTCGGGGGTTTTCCGATTCCAAGTTTAAAGATTTTGGGGTTGTTCGATTCCCAGTTTAAAGATTCGGGGTTTTTTGGATTCCCAGTTTAAACAAATATGGAGTTCGTGGTGTAGTATTGGATTGGTTTAAAAGCTATCTTCAAAATAGGTTACAGTATTAGCTTCGCCAACAAAAAATACAAAGTTACTATATATAAACTACATAACACTACAGCAATTACAACAAATGACGTCTAAATTTGGCAGGAGGACTGCAACAGCGTTAGCCAATTACTGCGGGTCCATAATTGGAAATATAGAATCTGAGCCTGTAAATGTTGTATGCGGAATTCCTCAGGGATCCACTTTAGGGCCACTATTATTTCTTTTATATATTAATGATTTACCTAATTCATCAACAAATATTTCTTTTCGCTTATTTGCTGATGATACTAATATATTCTATGCTAGTAAGAACCTTAAAGAAATCGAAACAGTTATGAATCAGGAATTCAAAATCATTCTGAAATATTGTAATGCTAATAAATTGTCTATAGGTCTTAAATATGCAAAAGTCTAATGTTATGTTAATTTGTTGCCCCCAAAAATTACTTCCTTCAAACATAACAATATTAAATATTGAGCAAAAAAAGTGCATTAAATACTTAGGTATACTAAGTTACGTAATTATTTAAATGTTCACATGTTAAAACAATTGTATTATACCCTCATTTATCGATACTTAAGCTATGGATCCATGAGTTGGGGTAGTGATTACTCAAGTAAATTAAAAAAAACTAACTGTGAAACAAAATAATAGTGTTCGTGGTATCTTCTTTGTAAACAATAAACAATCTGCCTCACCTTATTATCAATTACTTGAAATATTAAAATTTGAAAATATTGTCAAATTAAAAACTGCTATATTAACACATAAATTGTTTGTCAACCCTTCAAGCGTTCCCTCACTATTTCATAACTTTTTAATGCCTGTGAAAAATATTCATAGTTACAATACAAGGCATGCAGCAAGATACAACTTTTATCGGCCAAAAATAAGAACAAATTTTGGCAAATTTACTTTCAAGTACTCTGCGTCAGTGTTATGGGAGAACATTACAGTTTCCTTAAAAAAATTATCAACGACCAGCAATTTTAAAAGACAGTATAAAGTAGATTTACTGTCAAACCAAATTAATACCCCTTAGTTAAATTGGGAATGTTAACTTGATTTATTTTATGCCTCAATGGATTGGTTAAACAAATGAATTAACTACTTAATTAATGATTACGTTAATCAAGAGTATTACGATGACGTCGGCACAAAAGCGAACGAGTATGAAGGCATATCAGCTGAAGGTAATATGTTTAAAATTCCGCTTACCTTGCTATGTGTAATACTTTGGTCATTCTGAGAAGAAAATGTAATATATCTTGATTACACTGAAATACTGTTTTTTCTGTAGAGGTTGCAACTCTCCGCATTTGACCAGCAACTGTTCACACAAAGGAGGTGTGGGAGGTGCGCACCTCCCCTGAGATCGTTTTGCACCTCCCCTGCATGGTAATTATTGCATCTCCCCTGGAACATCATGCACCTCCCCTTGAGAAAATTTCAATGATAGATCAAAGTGAAAAGTTCACATTTTTGGTTGCTTAGGAGCCACACTTGGGTACTTCCTCGGGTAGAAGAATTTGCATCACAGATTACGTCATCAGTTAGTTATAGTGATTAGTGTTGGGATAAGAGTTAGGGTTAGATTAAGGATTAGGCTTAGAGATAGGGATTTGGTTATATCTGACGCCACAAACAACACAACTAGCCGATCACGTGATCAGTTCTCTTCTACCCCAGGAACTAGCCCTACACTTCGTAAGAAAGTTTTTTCTGTAAAATTAAAAGTGATAGCCGTTCATCTCTGTGTCAAGTACGCTTTTAATGCAATGTTTTGAAAGAAACTGTGTATTCATTGTAATGAAGGGCAAAATTGGATGAGTTGTACTGTCATAATGTACACTATATGCATACGTCACGTCGTTGACTTTGGCTCTTTCTAAGCCCAAACTTTCCACCCTAAATTTTTTTCCACCTCCCCACTATTTCCTCCCCCACTATTTCCAAAATCCGGCCTTGCTTGCAAATGAGAGTTGATGACAATACCTGTTCTAAAACACAGCGTTTTACAGCGTCCTGATGAGAACTTTTGCGGCTACACGCGCTAATTATACACAAGAGTTGAGAAAAATCCCATGCAAACTCTCGCTATATGAGGGACGGATCATGCCGTCTTATAAGCCTTGGTCAATCGAGAATGAAAGTTGACAAGCGAGAGTTTGTGTGAGAATTTTCTCAACTCTCATGACTCGTGGCCCGGTCAAACGAGACCAAGAGTTGCATGAGAGTTAATGAAAGTTGAGAAGCGAGAGTTTGCATGCGAGTTTTCTCAACTTTCATGGCCCGGTCAAACGAGAACAAGAGTTGCATGAGAGTTGAGAAGCGAGAGTTTGCATGAGAGTTGATGAGAGTTGAGAAGCGAGAGTTTGTATGAGAATTTTCTCAACTCTCATGGCCTGGTCAAACGAGAACAAGAGTTGCATGAGAGTTGATGAAAGTTGAGAAGCGAGAGTTTGCATGAGAATTTTCTCAACTTTCATGGTCCGGTCAAATTAACGAGAACAAGAGTTGCATGAGAGTTGAGAAGCGAGAGTTTGCCTTGAGAGTTTTAAATTAACTCTCATGGCCCGGTCAAACGAGAACAGGAGTTGCATGACAGTTGACTGGATATTACCGCGCGCGAAACGAGAACTCTCATCAACTCTCATTAAAATTTGAATCAGTTCAAAGTTGCGGAGAGTGGATGAGAATTGGCGGTCAAACGCGAGCGAGAGTTGCATCATCAATTCTCATCGATTTATAGCTGGTTCAAATTTTGATGAGAATTTTTGCTCGTTTAACGTACCGGTAATATCCAGTTAACTCTCATCAACTCTCATGCAACTCTTGTTCTCGTTTGACCGGGACATGAGAGTTGACTTTCAGGCAAACTCTCACTTCTCAACTCTCATCAACTCTCATGCAAACTCTCGCTTCTCAACTCTCATCAACTCTCATGTAAACTCTCGCTTCTCATCAACTCTCATCAACTCTCATTTAAACTCTCACTTCTCAATTCTCATCAACTCTAATGCAAACTCTCGCTTCTCAACTCTCATCAACTCTCATGCAAACTCTCGCTTTTCAACTCTCATCAACTCTCATGCAAACTCTCGCTTCTCAACTCTCATCAACTCTCATCAACTCTCATGCAAACTTCCGCTTCTCAACTCTCATCAACTCTCATGTAAACTCTCGCTTCTCAACTCTTATCAACTCTCATGCAAACTCTCATTTCTCAACTCTTATCAACTCTCATGCATGCAAATCGCTCACTTCTCAACTTTCCTCAACTCTCATGCAAACTCTCGCTTCTCAACTCTCATCAACTCTCATGCAAACTCTCGCTTCTCAACTCGCACCAACTCTCATGTAAACTCTCGCTTCTCAACTTTCATCAACTCTGATGCAAACTTTCGCTTCTCAACTCTCATTCACGTTAATTATTACATGTGATGTCACTACCGTGTTTTTTGCAACCTGACACTGCAGTCTGAAATTAATTTACAACATATTTGTCGACCCCGTGTTTGCTGCATGATTTATATTTCTTCTGCAAACAACACGGGCTGATTAAGGCCTTTCATCTTTCCAATTTAATTAGGGCTTGTTTACACATGTTTCGCCTCATAATACCCCCGCAACAAACTTTAAATCAAATTTTGAACAGCGATGTAGCAGTTTTGAATAGTAAAATGCAAGCTGATTAAATACGAGCATCTAAAACCGCCGCTTCGGCTTTATTCCCGCCATATGTAAGACGCGCGAGAAATATACATACATGAGCGCTTCAAAAACTGGTATTCGAATTACTTTTGTTCACGTAATTTTGCGCAATTTTGATAGCCTGAATTTATAGAGGGCTATTATTCTTGTGTAATGTAAGGGAAAACTCCAAGTGAAATAACGATCAACGTACGAAAAATGATATGAAAACTTGGCAGTCATTATTAATGTATACCGACCAAATATTGATACAGCGAAGTTGCATCAGTAGGCTATTATTATAAAGTGTGAAATTTCAATGATCTATTCGAGAAAACCCTATCTGATGATTTGTTCAGCTTTGAAAGCTTGAAATTACTGTGGAGTAACTGTGTCTTCCAAAAGATAACTAGTTATAACGAAAAACGCTAGGGGAATTTGGAACAATGGAAGCAATATTGATATATTAAACTTTAATTATATGATACAGCAAAGAAGCAATATTCGATTGATGAAAATTTGGAAGAAGCCTTGTTGGTAGAATAAAATATTATTATTTGATAAGGCAAAGAAGCTAAAGTTTGCGTAAATTTCAGTGTAAAGTTTTTCAAAGAAAAATAGGTATGTTTCTTTAGCTGTTTCAGCCTAAACTGTGGCACCTAAACCGAGTAAGATAGAAAGCGCGCAATTTTACGTGGGAAGATTTTCAAAGAGACAAAGGCCAAAAAAGAACCAAAAGAAATCATTCATTTTGGAAAACGAATATCATTTCATGAAAGACTTCCGAAAATATCTATAACGTGGGAGAATTTAAAACGCAGCCCGAGGCAAAGACGGATAATCTTGTAAAGACTCCCAGCAATTACTCACTTTGATAGGAAAGAATCAAAAATTTATTATTAAAAGGGATCTAACTCTCACCGTAGCATACAAACGACGACCAGACAAGACCCAAAATGTGGACAACTGATTAACAGCAAAGGCCTGATTAGCGTTCAATTACTTCAAAGTTTTATAAAGAGGAAACTTCTAACGAATTCCAAGTTATTTGCGCTGATACACGACAGTTTAAATTATTCCGAAGCCTTTCAAAGAAGAAGAATAGCATCAAGAACGATCTATGGCGGAAATGAGAAACTTTTCCGAAACTTTGAACTCGACTGGAACGAGCGAGGCGTGCAACAGAAACTATGTCGAGATGTTCACATTCTTACTTGCGACTATCGTAAGTTTCGTATCAAATGGCGCATTCTCCATGGCGCTTGGTAAACTGCACGCGCCGAAGGAGAACAAATTCCATCTGGTTGTGAAAATGTTTTCAGTCAGCAACACTCTAGTGGTGGCGCCATTGCTGCCCAGTTCGATTGCATCTTACGTGAACTGTCATTGGATTGGCGGGTACACAACATGCGCTGTAACGGGAGTGATTTCAGCGACATTCCTAGGATGGTCAGTGTTATTAATGCTTATCTTATGCTTCTATCGTTATCTGGCGATATGTAAACCGTTCTACTACCGAACAAGGCTCACACCTAAACGTACCAAGGTGATAATGAGCCTAGCTTTTCTATGGAGTTCAGCACATTTAAGCCTTCCCCTGTTTGGGCTCGGGCGATTTCGTGTTCGCACAAAAGGCTGGTACTGTTCAATCGACCTGGTGTCCGAGGATTCCACTGATCTTTTAGTGGTCTATTTTATTATAGCCGAAGGCATTTTGTACACGCTTGTTTTGGCGTATCTGTACATGACTGTACGTAAGGTTGTGAACACCGAAAGGCGGGCATCGATGCAATTGTCGCCTGAGCAGTCCCGAGGGGCGAACGTCATTGTTATCGGACGCAAACGAGACGAATTCGCTCGGATGACTTTACTCATTGCAGTTGTGTATTGGATATGTTCCTTTCCATATTTGGTAAGTACCAAGGCTAGTCCCCCAGAATGCCTGATCGCAGGTTACAAAGGCTAGTGTTGAGCTTCCCTCCCCAGTAATTTTTGAAAGCATTTGAACGATAACTGAATAGCTATGTAACAAAGCTGTGGAAATAATTTTCCGACCATCATGAAAGCATTGGTGGTCTATAAATCAAGTTATATACCGGGTGGCGCAAAAAAAAGTACAACTGTTTGATTACTTGTAACTCAGAAACAATAAGCAGTAGAACCATAAATCGAGTTTAATTGCATCCAGCGATATCTAACTTAAATTTTGGTATATTTGACAGGCATATTCGTCCAATATTAACTGAGATATAAGAGTTTAAACTTTTGTTAACAATTTTGAAACGGTCACAAATTAGCTAAAAATCAGTTTAATAGGCCGTTTTTAGCTAATTTGTGACCGTTTCAAATTTGCTAACAAAAGTTTAAACACTCATATCTCAGTCGATCTTGGACGAAAATGCCTGTCGAATATACCAAAATTTAAGTTAGACATCGCTGGATGCAATGAAACTCGATTTTGGGTTCTACTGCTTATGGTCTTTGAGCTATATGTAATCAAACAGTTATACTTTTTTTTGCGCCACCCGGTATATATATTGCATGAAAATTTTCTGTTTCAACAATCTTCAATGCATTTCCACTCAGGAACATTTTCCGCAGAAAAAAATTTTCCGTCGGAAAAATATTTTGAAGTTCAACTTTTAAACAATGATATTTTCGGAAAATTTTCTGTCGTCCATGGAAAATGGGCCTTAACAATTTGGTCTCCGTTTCTCACCCTAGAGTTACCGAGCAGTGTTTGTGTTTTCGAATGGCAGATACCACAGTTCCGATGCGTATTTCTACACGCAGATGATCGCGTACTTCAATTGCTCTCTCAACATTGTCGTGTTTCTTGTCATGAATAAACAGTACAGACATGCTATGAAGGGATGGCTGGGAATTAGGAGTACAGTTGTAGGTAAGTGGGATATATTCTAATATGACACCTCTCTAATACAAACGCCTTTCTAATATCGACACCTCTCTAATAGGGACACTTCTCCAATACGTACACCATTCTATTACAGACACCTCTCTAATACGGCACCTCTCTGATAAGGACACCTTTCAAATAAGGACGCCTCTCTGTTAAGGACATCTCTTTAATGTGGACACCTCTCTAATAAGGACACTTTTCTAATACGGAGACCTTTCAAATAAGGACACCTTTCTAATACGGAAACCTCTCTAATATGGACATCTCTCTAATACGGAAACCTTTCTAAAACGGACATTTCTCTAATAAGGACACCTCTCTAATACGGAAACCTCTCTAATACGGAAACCTCTCTAATACGGATACCTCTCTAATAAGGACACCTCTCTATTACATAAGGACACCTCTCTAATACGACACCTCTAATAAGAACACCTCTCTAATAAGGACACCTCTCTAATAAGGACACCTCTCTAATACGAACACCTCTCTAATAAGGACGGGTTTCAAATAAGGACACCTCTCTAATAGGGAAACCTCTCTAATAGGGGCACCTCTCTAATGAGGACACCTCTCAAATACGGACACCTCTCTGATAAGGACACCTCTCTAATACGGAAACCTCTCTAATACGAACACCTCTCTAATAAGGACAGCTTTCAAATAAGGACAGCTTTCAAATAAGGACACCTCTCTAATAGGGAAACCTCTCTAATAGGGACACCTCTCTAATGAGGACACCTCTCAAATACGGACACCTCTCTGATAAGGACACCTCTCTAATACGGAAACCTCTCTAATACGAACACCTCTCTAATAAGGACAGCTTTCAAATAAGGACAGCTTTCAAATAAGGACACCTCTCTAATAGGGAAACCTCTCTAATAGGGACACCTCTCTAATGAGGACACCTCTCAAATACGGACACCTCTCTGATAAGGACACCTCTCTAATACGGAAACCTCTCTAATACGAACACCTCTCTAATAAGGACAGCTTTCAAATAAGGACAGCTTTCAAATAAGGACACCTCTCTAATAGGGAAACCTCTCTAATAGGGACACCTCTCTAATGAGGACACCTCTCAAATACGGACACCTCTCTGATAAGGACACCTCTCTAATACGGAAACCTCTCTAATACGAACACCTCTCTAATAAGGACAGCTCTCTAATAAGGACGGGTTTCAAATAAGGACACCTCTCTAATAGGGAAACCTCTCTAATAGGGGCACCTCTCTAATGAGGACACCTCTCAAATACGGACACCTCTCTGATAAGGACACCTCTCTAATACGGAAACCTCTCTAATACGAACACCTCTCTAATAAGGACAGCTTTCAAATAAGGACAGCTTTCAAATAAGGACACCTCTCTAATAGGGAAACCTCTCTAATAGGGACACCTCTCTAATGAGGACACCTCTCAAATACGGACACCTCTCTGATAAGGACACCTCTCTAATACGGAAATCTCTCTAATACGAACACCTCTCTAATAAGGACAGCTTTCAAATAAGGACACCTCTCTAATAGGAAAACCTCTCTAATAGGGACACTTCTCTAATAAGGACACCTCTCTAATACGAACACCACTTTAACATTTACAGATAACAGCCAAGTTTCAAACGAGCAACGACGTCACATTTCTCAAAATGAGATAGAGGGACTGCCCGCTTCTGTGGAAAAGTACTATGAGAACGTCTCACTGTGATAGAAGAAAAATATGGAATTAATGTTCATTAATTATTATGCCTGAAAATCGTTCTGAAGCAAAAGGTGAACATTTTAAAAGTAGTTCCATCACTTCCTGTATCTGTAGAAAAGTGATACGAAAAATACTGCATCTGTAGCGCATACTAACAAGGAAAAATAAGAAGGAAACCGAAATAGTTCCAAATAAGCAGGGAACCAAAGCAGAATGAATCATAAAAGTGATTAAAATGGAATTCTTCATTCAGAAGAAATATACACTAAAGTCTAAAAAGAGTATTTTTACTATTTTATGAGAAATTTGGATATCAGTCATATATGTAAAATTACTTAAATTAAACAATAAGAATCGATTTACACTATCAAAGTTTCAATGACTACAGTAGGAATTTTGCATAGGTAAATTCTACGTTTTTAATGGTTTGCACGAATTAACGGCAGAGTATCTGAGTTTGGAGGTAGGTGCCGTGGTGTAGTCGGCGATCTAGCCTTGTCAGACAAATGACAGCAATGGCAAACATTAAGCAAAACACTGGCAAACATTTATGGCAAACTGGCAAATGGCAAAACTGGCAAACAGCAATGGCAAACAGCTATGGCAAAACAGCAAAAAACGTAATAATAAGGCTAATTATAGTAGCAATAGGAGTTTGCCATGACAATTCTGCCAAGGCAGACCTCCGGCACCTGTCACACTGATGATCAGTGGAAAAAGGACGCATTCTATAGTAGTCTATAGATTGTATCCTATAAAAAAACTCCAAAAAACAACCCAAACGAAACAACAAAAAACAAAGCTAAAACAAAAATAAAGAAATTAACCCGAGTATCAACAAACATTAACCAGGGTGGGGGCGAAGGGGAACAGAGCGAAAGAGCAGTTGTAGCTGGCTAGCCAAGCTGTAGCAAAGTGACAGATGCGTGAGAATTGCAACAGTTCTAAGTGACGTCAGGGGCTCCCCGCTGCTAGATACATCTGCCGTTAACTTCGCTTAAATCTACGTTTAACCACATTTGTTAGAGGGAATTGATTTACTGTTAAACACCGAGTGCCTACTGCGATCACAGCGACTTTGATGGTGTAAACCAGCCTATGAAAACGTCTATCACTGGAAAATGGTTACATATTTCATTTCCAATGTTTGGCACACTTCCATAGTGTAGAAATTTTGCAGAAAAGGCGAAGATATTTTCTAGAAGACCAAAGTATGAAAATGGTTCAAGAGTATTTCTTTAGTTTAATAAAAGACATTGTTGAACATGAATGCATGTCAATTAATTACACGAGAACGGTTTAAAATGCAATAAAATTTATCATTAATCCCAATTTACTCTTTGGCGGGTTCATTGCATGCCCGCCAGACGCAGGCGTTTGTATCGGATTTAAAAAATCAACGAGTCCCCTTAAGTAGCGGTGGAGCCGTATCCCCTGGTACCCTTGGTCATAGATTAAAAGTATATACTTAATCTGTGCCTTGGTGGACCCTTGAATACTGAAAGGCGATATCTGTTTTGGAAGACAAAGATTAGAAGACTATAGTCTTAGAGGTTTCCTATTTGAGACAATGATGAAATACGTTGATGTGCAATGGCGGTTGAGGTTTAACCATTAGGGCACAGTAAGGCTGATGCCAAGGAACATTTGCACAATGAGATCGGCATGAACAAAGGAATGAACATTTCCAAAGTGCTTGAAAAGCGCCACATATTTTGACAATTTTTATGACCACTCGCCCTGATGTTAAGTGGTGACTGTGTTGTCCATTGCCTTCTGTTAAATGACTTCAGAGTGAGAACTGAATTCTCCAGAAGAAGAAGCTTCCTTCGTCAATTATGCATTGTTTGTCAGAAACCCAACTCGAGTAGACTCGTCAGGACTTGGTGACGGACTCTCAGAAATCGGATAAGTGGATAAACTAACTCTCGCATTAATATGAACACTGACTTTGGGTTTCGTCACGCTTATACTAGGAATACTGGCCGTTCTGGTCTTCCTTCGGTTACTCGATGCTCCGGCTAAAAATTTATTGCTGACATGGATGGAAGATTTTCGGTCCCTCCCAGAACACTTGCACTTACATGCCTCGCAACAGCAACATGGAGGTTGTTTATCGTCGCTACTTTTTACAGAGTATGTTGTTTCTAGCGACTCGTTCGTTGTCGAGTTGATTATGCGTTGTAGGCCAATTATCTGAGAATGGATAATGAAGATTTTAATGAGTACGATCATGGCCGTTCTACCAGATAATTAGTCAGCCAGATAATTAATCAGCCAGATAATCAATCAGATAGATTATCAATAAAATAATCAGTTATCAATCAGTCAGATAATCGATCAATCAGTTAATCAATTAGTCAGATAACCAATCAATCATATATATGATCAATAAGATAATCAATCAATCAGTCATACAATCGATCAATTGATCAGATAATCAATCGATCAGATAATCAATCAATGACATAATCAATTAATCAGACAACCTATTGGTTAGTCAATCACTCAGTCTTTAAATCAATCAGTATGCAATTAAATCAGACAACTAATCGATTTAGTAAATCGATTAGTAAATCGATTAGTTGTATTAATAAACAAATGCTTCAAGAAAGCTCAAAATATAAAAAAAAATTTCTACTTACTTTCGGTACAAACACAATACCCAGCGTGGCAGCAGTGCATAATATAACCACGAGCGACATTAATGCGAGATAGACATTATAATACTCAGAGCCCGACATCAAGGTGGCCAATATAACACCAACCACAGATAATATCACAACATTATAAACAGATATACCGATATATTTGGAGTCATTCAGAGCCTTGATTTCGATATTTCGTGTCTCCCATGCGAGGAAGATCCCGAACACCAATAACAGACCTTTGCATCCCAAGGTGGTTATGAGGAAGTAGTTCTCGTGTTGTGAAGTACAATTGAAGATGTAGGGATAAATAATTTCGTCTTCTTCCTTGTTTTCCTTAAAACAACAAAGAGGAATTGATTCTGTTGTTGTGCACTCAGGTGAAGGATATAGGGGCGCTTTCCATGTAATGGCCTGACCGGTCAGACTCGAATTCTTTTATCTGTATCAATGGGAAGATCTGGTCTATATTTCTCAAATATCTAAGGAAAATGGACCTCATTCTAATTTTATCTAAATGTTCCGGTCAGATAGCTCCGAAGCCCAAACGTTCTGTGTCCATTCAATAATTTGACCGTTCTGACCGGCTGGCCGTGTTTAATGGAAAGCGCCCTAGGTTTGTGATGTTTCTCTGAGTTTGCCCACAGCGAACAAACTGAAAATTTTGTTTGACCGCGGTGGGGATTGAACCTGCGACCTTTGGTTTGCCAGTCCAATGCTCTACCAACTGAGCTATGAGGTCAAGTCGGTAGACTACCAGTTTGTAGAGCATTGGACAGTAACTTCCACAAAACGGCTAGCCGCCATTTTGCAAATTCCGGTTTTGTTGTATTCACCTGTAGGTGAATAGAACAGCTTAATACGTCAAATTTGACCAATCAACTTGTAGGATTTGTTATATTCACTTGTGCAAAAATACTAAATCTCTACGCTCCTCGCGGGACGAAAGAGCCTGGGTACGAGGTAGTTCAATCGAATGAGATGGCCAATATAAATCCTGATACATACCTCTGTAGGTAGTTGAAGTATTCCAGATCTATAAGGACTTGCAATCATCCATACAGTTAATAATATAAAATCCACTGCCAGTAAGGCGAACAGTAAGCCATACAGATGAAAATTTTTGATTACCTAGAAAAAAAAGTATCAATATTAAACGTTTGAAATCGAGTTTGAAGCAAATGTAAGCGACAAAGTATTTTATCAATGAAACTATCAAAGCTTATAAGATCAAGCATCAAGATCATAATATGAATGCTAATCATACCGCTCGTCTGAAATTCTTGGAAGCGGTAAATATTCTATGAACTCTCCATGTTTTACTGAACATAGCTCCAAATGCTGTGGTGAAACCAAGCGACATCAGCCAGACCCGAGCCTAGAAAGAAATGGAACAGGTAAATAGAAATTTAGTTTAGGTTTGCTCCTGTAGTAACATTGGATCAATAAGAGATGGTCCTTACTGGATATCTAGGAAGAACAGTTTAGAACTAATGAGCTATCCAGTATAAATAAAGCTAGTTTAGTTTAGGTTTCCTCATGCAGTAATACTGGATCAATAAGAGATGATCCTTATTGAACCTCTAGGAAGCAGAGTTTAGAACTGATAGAGCTATCCAGTATAAATAAAGTTAGTTTAGTTTAGGTTTCCTCCTGTAGTAACATTGGATCAATAAGAGATGATCCTTACTGGACCTCTAGGAATAACAGTTTAGAACTGGTAGAGCTATCCAGTATAGATAAAGTTAGTTTAGTTTAGGTTTCCTCCTGTAGTAACACTGGATCAATAAGAAATGATCCTTAATGGACCTCTAGTGAGAACAGTTTAAAACTAAAAGAGGTATTAAGTGTTAGTGCAACACTCTTTGTTTTCTCCCGCTTGCTCGGACGATTGCACCAGAGAAACCGTTGAGTTTGCAGGTCTGTGCCGGAACTTTTCAATCAACTTACATTGCAGAAACGACCGTAGGTTTCCAGGCCAACATATCTTGAGTCTAACGTGTCTACAAACACTTTAATATAACACAGCAGTCCACCAAATATGATGATATTGTTCACATGAGGAGAAGACATCTTGATGTATCTGAGTAAAAAAGACAACTTTTAGATTGAACTTCGGTGAAACGAGAGTTGATGAGAATAACGGCTTATGGACCGAGCGTGAGGTCTGTACTGTGAAATATCAGACCGAGGTTTTTTAGTCTGATATTTCACAGTACAGACCGAACAAGTGAGGTCAATAATCGGTTTATTATATGGCTGAACTGAGTCTGTGAGCATATGCTTTTCGCGCTAATTAAATCGGCTATCGTCAGTTTCACTGTGTGACAATATACGGTAGACATGCATGCTCAATAAAAAACAATTTGGTTGTTTGAAATTTTTATCTGTAAATTTTAATGACACACAATTGGAAAATTAGAAAAGCAAAATTTTTTTCTGTTTGCAAAGCAAAAATTTCCCGCCAGATAAACGACATCCGGAACATCGGTCCAGATACGGAAAATACGGACTACGGTCCGGATATGGGTTTTTACGGACCGCTTGTCAACCAATCAGAATAGAGAATTTTGAAAAGCCATATAATAATTACAACTATTGCTCGTGTTTGAACGTCAACTCTCGCCAACTTTGAGCTGGTTCAAATTTTGATGACAGTTGATGAGAGTTTTCGCTACGCGCGCAGTAATATCCAGTCAACTCTCATCAACTGATTACAGAGCGCAGCTAACAATGGTTGGGTTAGTGTGGCGCTTATCCCAACCCACCCCGTCAACATTCCCTGTGGGAGGAAACCGTGGCACTCAGAGAAAACCCACGACTTTCGGTAGAGCGTTGACCGACTCTTTTCACACAAGTACCACGAGTCAGATTCAAGGGAAACATATTGGTGCACAAGGATCAAAAGCACGACAAGCCAACAAAGAAACTGGCACAGGACGGAATAGGCAATTCCAGCTTTTAGTTTATGCGTGCAGGAGACGATGGGAAGTAAGGTATCACATTGCTGATTATGCTGAAAAACTAAAAATGCTGGCCGTGTAAACACGGAGTGATAGCTTATACTTGTAAATATTGAAATATTTCGGTTGTTTCGGGAGTTTTTATTGAAATTTTTCAGCATAATCAGCAATATGATACCTTACTTCCCATCATCCCCTGCAGGCATAAACTAAAAGCTGGAATTGCCTATTACTGCTCAACAATTTCTCGTAATAAATAAAACTGGCACAAGGCGCACAACTAATCCAAGCGACGTAAACTATACGGTTTGCTTAGGCCTCATGATTAGGCCAAAAAACTCTGGGTTTCCTATTTCTTGTTGCAAAAACGTAGGTCGGGTTTTGTTTGTTTTTGAGAATGCATGATATACTGCACAGATGGTACAAACATCTGCTAAATATCATATCAACTTTATATAGTGAGTACAAAACTAACGCCACAAACTGGGTACGAAAAATTTCTTCAAACTCTTTGCAAACTTCAGATAAAAAGATTGGGCCATTCATTAAATATGTGCACCCCCTCCCCTATTAAGGGTCTGGATATCCAATGGGGGAGGAGGGGTCTTCATCTTAAATTTTCCTAGATGGCAGCTTGAGAGATTTTTTAAAAAATGGCAAAAATTAGGTGTATTAGTGATATCGAAGAGGGGAAAAACAATATCCTAACGGGGTTAGTAAGATATCCTCTGGGCTAACTTCCACAAATTGCATCCAAGGGGGTTCCAAATTTTTTATATCCTAAGGGGATTATGAAGGGACCCCTCAATGGGGAGGGTGTGTGCCTATATTAAATAGAATGGCCCATTAGTGTCGGCGATTTCAGTGGGCAAAAGTCAGCCTAGACCTAGGCCTTTACATGGTTGGCAGGTTGGTCAATTTCGGGCTAGCATCTTTGGCAGGTTTGTATCGCCATGGTATTGCCTCCTCCCAGTCTTCTCATGTGAAAAAGCACTGAATATTAAAAAGTAATAAAAATAGAAGGCCTAGGTCTAGGTCTAGGCTGAGCAAAAGCTAGGTATGGTCGAGAAACAGGAAACCCAGAGTTGTTTTTGCCTTATCGACCACGACGTACCTTATTTCTCTATTTTTAAAGTTGAAATACAACAAGGCTAGGGTCACGATCACCGCCAAGGCACACACGATCCAAATCACAATGAAGAGTGCGAGCGAATAATGCCGTGTCTGCTTGATGTGGCGGGGACCATCTTGGGCATACTTGGTACCTATAGGTGTAACATGGGATAAACAACGTTATAATTGTATTTAGTTAATATTAAATTTGAAAAATTTGATAATCGAAATATTTTGACGACGACGTAAGGTCCATTTCCATTCAGGAAAATTTTCCGCAGAAAGAAAATTTTGTGAAATGGGATTGACCGACACAAATTTTCCGTCGGAAAAAAATTTTGAAGTTGAAAACTTTTCAACTTTTAACAATGATATTTTCGGAAAATTGTCTGTCCGTGGAAATTTTTCTTCAGTGTGGAAATGGGCCTTTAAGGCCCATTTTCATTCAGGAAAATTTTCCGCAGAAAGAAATTTTGTAAATTGTGATTGGCCGACACAAATTTTCCGTCGGAAAAAAGTTTCAACTTTTAACAATACCTTAATTAATGGTATACTAATCCAATGTTCTACCAACTGAGCTACAAGGTAGAGCATTGGATTTGGACTAGCATCCCAAAGGTCGCGGGTTCGATACCCACCGTAGTCGGGGAAACTGTTCAGCTTGCCCGGTGTGGATGCAATAAGAGTATAATCCATTACTAACACTGACCTTTAAATAATATTCCAGGTTTTGATTGATTGGGAAAAAAAATTAAACGGTCTAAAGATGTATAATGTTGAGCCACACTGATCAGATGCTTCTTTCTTCGCTGTTGGATGACAATCGTTCCTAACCTTTCTGAAGAATTAAAGTTCACTCTTCCCTTAAATAAAAATATGAACGTGACATAAGTTTGGAAAACAAACTGGGAAAGATATGGCGTCAAGGCCGATTGAGTTGTACTGTGTAAATCAAGCCCAGAACTCGGGCCATTCCACTTAATGTCCACACTCCCCCCCCCCCTCCCCCTATGAACGAGAATTTCTGAGGGGGTTCAAAAAAGCCATTTCTGAAGGGTTATGGCCATCTGCATCCTTTGATCTTAGCGTTTTTTCTGAGAGTTAAGACAAAAATTTACAAATTTCTAAGGGGGTGTATGTGCGTCGGCACTTTGATATTTTTTCTTGGGGGTTCAAATTTTACTTAGCTCGTCCATAGGAGGGGGGGGGATTTTCTTTGGAATGGCCCCTCACCTACGTACGACCTACAACGTAGGTGAGTTGTAAACAGGTACGTTGTGGTGTATACAAATCGGCGTTCACGATTTACCGCTTGGAACATATACTTGAGCCACGAGCGCACTTCAGATGAGCGCACTTCAGAAGTTTAGGATGTCGGCTGTAGAGGCAGGGACGCCGGAGAGGGGGGGGGGCGCAAGCGCCCCCTTGCCTTTCCTAACGGGGGCAAGGGTGGCAAAGGTGCCCTTTTAGTAGAAATATTATTAGTGTAAAAGTTGAGTGTACGATTATTGGAAATCTAGTATGCTTGGCTTAGTGTTATGTTACGTGTATTAAGTTATGCTTGATTGTATATGTTAAACACAGATTACAAGAATAAACTATAAACTAACTGGTAGACGATTCGTCATATTGATAAACCTAACTTCCAATTGCTTTCGTTCCGTAGTATCTTTTTGTACATGGAAGAGGTTATTTCGCTGGCCTCAGAGTGACAAAACGTAACAAAGCAACGGTTTTACTAACACTAACCCTATTCCAAACATCAACTCTAACCCCAACCCTAATCCTTAACCTAACCTAACCCTACTTCAAGTTTGTTTCTAAACCAATCTTAAAGAAAATTTTTTTGACGAAATGTCATTCTTTTTCCTTGTACATAGGGATAATGATTTAATAAGTTAACATTTGGAAATCATCGAAATCCCATCAAAAGGGCGTGGCTACGAATTTTCTACCAACTGCCCTTCATGCTCGCATTGCCCCTCCTGCCCTTTTATCGCTCCGGCGTCCCAGTGTAGGGGGAAGCACCTAGGGTACTTTCTAATAATATCAGGTTTTTGTGCATCTCACTCGATATAAATTTCGATTGGAATTTTTATATATTTATTAGACTTAACCAGGGACAGTTGCGAAAAATGAAACTATAGCCCCTCTGGCAGGAATCGAACCTACGGCCCTACGATTCCGGTGCAGTGCTCTAACCAACTGAGCTACAGAGAGACAGTTGTCAATACCATTGAACTATAAATAAACTGGAAGGCTAACTCAGGGGGGGGGGGGATTGAAGCCAGTGCATTTTAGTTTTTCTGAGTTATGAGCAGAAATACTCAACACTGAACGTTGGGCTATATATCAAATTGAAGCTATTGAAAAACGCTATTTGGTGTAGAAATTTCAGGACTTTAGCTAAAAGGGAAATATTGAAAAACTACAAACATAATTACCGATAATTTGCCGTTTTGCAGTTGTTTTTGTATTTTTTAAATATTTTTTTTTCGCTGAAGTCTTGAAATTTCCACACCGAATAGCAATTTTCAATAGCTTCAATTTGATATATAGCCCGACGTTTGGGATCAAGTATTTCTGCTCATAACTCAGAAAAACTATTTTGGCTTCATCAAATCATAGGCCTTCATCATAGCAGTTAGCCTTCCAGTTTATTTATAGTTCAATAGTCAATACTCAGTCCAGTATTATTACTAGAACATGATTTTTCCCTATCAGGTCGCCCTACTTCAATTCATCGCGGACAACGTAATTTAAACAATATTATTCAAATTAACATTAATAAAACTGTTATTTCCAATGCTAATGACTATTTCTACGTTCCGAAACTATTATTGACAAATACGATGTCATTAGCTCCCAAAATTGATGAAGTGAGTTGTTTTGTCACAGAAAAGAGTCCTGACCTTGCCTGTATAACGGAAACATGGTTAAACGACCGTATCTCAGATTCCTGCCTCGATATTCCAGGTTACAATTTTGTTCATAAAAACCGCAGTGTGGGTTCCCACGGAGGGGTTGGGGTGTACATCAGGAACACGATATTTTATAAGCCTCTAAATCATCTCCACCATACAGATTACGAAGTTCTGTAGGTCTATTTTCGTCCAAGTAGACTTCCTCGCGGGTTTTCCTGCTTGATACTTGTGTCGTTTACCATCCACCTAATGCTAATGATGATGAAATGCTCCAATTCCTCTCCACATCACTGATTACTATTGAAAGCACTTATCCTGGCTGTGGGTTTATTCTTGCAGGCGACTTTAATCGGTTAAAATGCAATCGGATATTAACACAGTTCAGTTGCAAACAGATTGTTAACGTTTCCACAAGGGCCAACCAGACTTTGGATCTAATAATAACAAACTTACATTCGTTTTATGATAAGAACTCTGTCGAAAAATTTCCGCCATTTGGTCTTTCAGATCATAATGTTGTGATTGTCAATCCTTGCAAAAGAGAACCCAAGTCATGCAGTAGAAGAATTATCTCTAGGAGAGATTTACGATCTAGTAAAAGGCATGAGCTTGGAAGATACCTTACATCTATCGATTGGTCCTCTCTGAATCATTTTGACACATGCGAAATGAAACTCCAGTATTTCGAAGAGTTAGTACGTCTCGGTATTAGCACCATTATGCCAATAAAGAAAACGGCTTTGCATGTACACGATCCTCCATGGATTACTGCAGAATTTAAAGAGCTTATAAGGAAGCGTCAAGCTGCCTTCTGCAGTGGAAATACCTTTCAGTTCAAGTATTACCGGAATCGGGTTAACCGCGAGCGAAAGACATGCCGGGCGAAATTCTACTCTTCAAAAGTAAAGAATCTTAAATCGACCAAACCGAAGAGATGGTGGAAGGAGGTGAAGCAGATTGCTGGTATGGTACCTACAACCGGCTCCGATGACCTATGTAGTCAACTTCATTTAGACGATATCGAGAATATGCAACGTCCTGACATTGCGAATTTAATTAATAACGCCTTTTTGGAGCCCATGAACTCCTTCAATCCACTGTCAACCCTTCCCCCCTTTGATAATTATTCCTCTTTTCAAGTAAACGAATTGGAAGTCTTTCATTTATTGAAAGCAATTAATCGTGGAAAGGCGTCAGGTCCTGACGAAATTCCCAATTGGGCTCTTAAGGAATATGCTGAAATCCTTGCACAGCCAGTATGCGCTGTGCTAAACAGCAGCTATGCCGAACAACAACTACCTAAATCTTGGAAGCTTGCCAACATTGTGCCCCTCATAAAAACTAAGCCCGTTAGCGATATTTGTAAGCAGTTACGACCAATTTCACTTACTGCCGCTATTTCGAAAATCGCTGAGGACTGTGTTGTTAAAAAATACATTGCTCCAGCTATCATGAGTATAATCGATCCAAGTCAATATGGAGTAATACCAAGAAGTTCAACTACTCTCGCTGTTATATCTATGATCCATGAATGGTCGCAAGCTACTGATGGCACTGGCTCTGCTGTCAGAGTCATCCTGTTCGATTATAGAAAAGCATTCGACCTTATCGATCATGCTTTACTGGCTGATAAAATTTCCAATTTAGCTATTCCACGTGCGGTTGCTCGCTGGACAATCGATTTTTTGATGAATCGAAAGCAGAGAGTGAAATTATCCAATGACTGTTATTCGGAGTGGGGAGATGTACTTTCCGGTATCCCTCAAGGTACAAAATTAGGGCCCTGGCTATTTTGTTTAATGATAAACGATCTTGATATTTGTGATATATCGAGGTGGAAGTTTGTTGATGACACAACAGTTGCTGAAGTAGTTAGTAAGGACACAGAGAGCCGTGTTCAAGTCGCAGTTGATGTTGTGGAAGATTGGTCGAAGGCAAATGGGCTATCTCTTAACGCTGAGAAATGTAAAGAACTGAGAATCGATTTTAAAAAAATTAAACAACCTTTTGATCCTGTACTGGTGGGTGGAGAAGCATTGCCTATAGTTGAGAGTGCAAAAATATTGGGTCTTGTTATGACAGGCACACTTTCAGTGGAAAGACAACATCAGAGAGAGTATAAAGAAAGCTAATAAACGCCTCTATTTTATAGTATTATTGAAACGGGCAGGCGTAAATGTTAAAGATGTTTTGAACTTTTATTGTACAGTGATCAGGCCTGTGCTCGAGTATTGTGCGCAGGCCTTCCATCATTCCATCCCAAAGTATTTGGCAGACGAACTTGAGACTGTCCAGAAACGTGTGCTAAAAATTTTATCTCCCGAAATGACATATTGTGAGGCCCTTGAGTATTATAGACTGCCTACTCTATTTCAAAGAAGAGAGGACATGTGTGACAAACTCTTTACGAGTATCATCAAGGATCCAATGCATAAACTTCATCATCTGCTGCCCCCGAAGAACGAGACTGATTATTCTTTCAGGACGAATCGGTATTTTAATATGTACGTTACACGCACGAACCGCTTTTATAACTCTTTCATCCCTGCTATGTGTAGGAAGTTTGTAGGATAGATTTTATGCTTATTTTAATCGAATTTTGATCGTCGGTGGGTTTTATAATATTGTATTAATAATATATTTATATGTAGTGCATGTGATAATATGTAATCCACGCAATTCAGCTTCTGGCTGCAATGTGTTTTCAATTTTATAATAATAATAATAAAATCTAAATTATTGCTTTTGTAATTGTTAAACTGATCAGCAGCTCCAAGTTCAGGGTATGAGCTCACAAGTATATCCGTACCTGCGAATCCACGTAAGTGTAATATAGCGAAGAGAAAAATGGTAAGGAGAATAAGCGTGTTTCGGACATGACTGTTGCCGAACTAAAGGAGTATTTGAAAATGCGTGGCGTTACTGCAAACGGCTTTTTGAAACCTGCTTTACTTCAAATTGCTCAAGCAGTGGAGAAAATGATGTTGCCGATTGACCCAAATCATGAATATGGAAATTCGGATCTCAAGAACGCAAGAGAAACATTTATTATTCATGATATGGTGATACGTCAGCCATTGTCATATCCAGTCGTGAACGACTTTATACTAGATTCGCCACCCTTCGGTTTGTATATTTTTAACTGTTTAATATACAGCTCGGCTGAGTATGATAAACAGGGACTTGCCTCATATAAATCATTCGAAGATTATAGAGGCTGCAAGCACATCGCAGCCTGTTTGTATTCGCTGGAGGATGTACTGCATAATCGGTAATCGCGAGAGTGTAGCATCTGGTCCATGCCAGGTCATTAGTAGAAAAGCGCAAATATATTGATTATAAAATATAACTTACTTTATTCCCATCAGCTATAGCTGGTATCGGATCAGGATAATCCGCTGTGGGTCCATTTTCGTCAATAAAATGAAAACCGCATATATAGCTGCATTTCCGACAGACGAACTTGTCGCCTCGACAACATGCATTTATCCAAATTCGCCTTCTTTCCTTAGATTTCTTCTCACTTGGGAAACTGTAGAAAGATACTGAAGTCACATTGTCCTTTTTTAAGCGTGCTGGATACCTCGAATCGCTTTTGCATATTCCCCAAGCACATCTCTTTACCATAATTTGTGAATCGCTTATAGTATAATCATGGATGAGTATAATCGAGGCCGTCGAGCGAAATATATCCCTATATTTTCGTACCCACACAACGGGAAATTTTTCTCTTCGCTACATATTACACTTACAGGAGTTAAACTATACCCACAAATACAAAAAAGAAACTTTCAAATCGTCCTTATTTTGCGATATTTTCGCTTGTTTATATCGCGCACGTGTATACACTTTGAATAGCGGAGTGCGAAAGTTGTCCGAAAAAATGCAAATTTGGTCACGTCACAGCAACATATTTTTCATCGCAGTAAACGTGGATTGCAATGCAATCAAAATTTGTGTACCTGTACATCAATTTTCCCAACCTCGTACCCAGGCTCTCTTCTCTACGCTCCTCGCTGCAAGAAGAGACCCTACTGAATGCTGGTCACGTTGCTCCCAGATTTTGGGAGCCGCGTGAATATCGATTGCTAGGGAGGGGAGGGTTCGTATACTTTATTTGCGTAAACGTAGATCGTGCCACACTTTTCATCAATATTATTTTATAACACCTGGCTTCCGAGTGAGAGTATACAATGTATCATTCGCAAGAAAGTGAAAACAAACTGTAAACAAAGTGTAAACAGGGCAAAGTGTAAACAAAGCGGGGACTCAAGACATTTAAAATTTGAAGACTCGAACATCGCGTATGTATTTTGATCAGTCTGCGCAAAGTTTATAGCTACTATAGACTATAAGCCACTAGTGTCTAGTACTAGTCTCAAATTACATACATTGAAAAGTGCCACCCCTCCCAGGGGACGTATTTGTGGCTCCCAAAATCTGGGAGCCACGTGACCAGCATTCACCAAGGTTTCTTCCTCCAGCTAGGAGCGTAGAGAAGAAGAGAGTCTGGGTACGAGGCTGTGCAAACAAAATTTGTGTTCTTCATATTTGCCGTGCTCTACACAATGGTTCAACCTCCAAAATGAACTTACTTTGAATTTCTTTAGCTGGCCAAGTCCAGGCTCACCAAGATACTATAAAACACGGACGGACATCCCGAAAACGTGGAGCTGTTAAAGGATTAAGAATTGTAAATATATGTTAATATTTTGTTTGAATAAACCAAATAATAAAATGGTATTAAAGGAATATATCCATGAGATGAAAAATTCCGACCCTGTTTACACTATTATCTCATACCTGGCGTATTAGCGGCTTTCGTATTCGCTACGAGGACGTGTGTTCAATCTCGAACCCACCTGCTGACGTATGTTTAGGAGGGGGGTTCGAGATCGATGTTTTCGGCGGCAGTCATTATGAAGCGATTTGAACAAATTTCAGACGAAG